AAGGTCTAATGTTATATGCCTAAAATTAGAAATATAACAAGCACTAAGGCAGTCTCTACACTTAAGATCTGCTGTTTTAACTATTCAAGGATAAAGCAACAGAATCCTATACTGTGGATCTAATCACTATATATTATTTATACTGGAGTAAGACCTGGTTTGGCAAACTCTTGGAACAACACACATCTTATGCCAGAATAACTGTTTTTCAGTAGGGCTTTTACCAGCACAATGATATCAGTAAAAATGATCATACCCCTTAATTACATAATTACGTAACAAATACTTTAGTGTTGGCTTACCATTGTTCCCACTGCAGCCTTGAGAGTGTTACCACTGAATGCAATACAATAGTAGGCCAGATCTGAGCAATTTGGAAAACCCCACCTTAAGAGCTGTAGTGCCACACTACTGGTAATTAGCAGATTTAACTCTACCAGTCAGTGAAATCATACCCACTATGAAAACAGTGAATTCATGTCTTTTATCTTATACTTAAAGGATGCCAAGATTAAAAAAAACCTGCCTTCATCCCGTTTACATTGTAACTTAATACACTAATGACTGGTAAAATAAACTGTTCTGTTTTAAAACCAAGCAACACTCTGCTCCATTCTAACATCATTAACCTAACTTTGTCTACACTGGAAATTTGTCCCTGTTCCAGTCAATAACGGTTGCTTTAGGACAGACTCCCAGGATAAAGCAGTTCCAGATATGGAATAAGCTATGATAGTATAGATAAAATAATCTGCAGTTTACACTATGGGTTACATTGGTGCAGCTGCGCGGGTGGCTGGATACCCAAGGTTGGAATTGGGGCAAGTCTCCATTGTAAACAAGGCCTGGGAATTGTCAGGAGTGACTTGCCAGCTGTGGTTTGGACCTCTAGATGTCTGCATAAAGCTACTGTAATTACAGCGTTGGCTCATTTACCTTGGATTCTTCTTTTTTTTTTTTTTTAAAGCAGCTACACTTTATTAAAAAAGAATACATTCTTGTTCATTACTGTAGATACAACAAGGATGTTGTATAATCACGAGTGGGAGGGAAAAAATCTGCAAAATTGTGTATAAAGAACTATGTTTTCAGTAGGTTCCTACTAGCAATGAGGTCAAGAATGGAAGTTTGAGATACTCTGGTTCAGAAGCAGTCTAGGTAACTTTTTCATATATATTCAACTGTTCCCTCAAATTCTTTATCACTGCTGCACTTTGCAAATTGCATAAATTTAGTAAAATTGGTATTTGTACAGGATCTACTGAATTGCTACTGTATCTTTAAGAACCCTCAATCTGAATACCTCAACCTTTTATGGAAAGAGGCAAACAAGCACAAATTAAATAGATTGATGTTTGACTGTCACAACTGCCAACATAGTAACAACCACAAGTTCTGAATTCTGCTCAGCTTGATTTTAGCCTTTTCATTCTGACCTCTAAAATAAATTAATTAGTCAATACAGGGGGAGAAGTGACTCTTCAGAGAACAGCATTTTATGACGACTGAAAAATACAAATGCAGTAACTTAGTGAAGCAATGCAGCATATGGAAGATATCTAAAATAGCACAGCAGTGGTTAATACTGAAATATGTAGTATTTGTATTCTATCCTTTGACTATGCTCTGTTAAATCCAAACAAATCAGATTGAGATAAATATCAGCTTAAATATTGCTGGATGAATTATTTAGTTTCTCCCTCTGATGAAACACTAGAGCAGTCAGTTAAATAACAGACACAGAACTGAAATATGCTTGCTCCACCTTAAGCTATGAAGCCCAACAGAACAAAATATCAATACAATTTATTATACATTTGTTTAAACTTCAGACGCTTATTTTTTTCTACTCCACCCTGTTTAACATTAAATAGAAAGGATTAGCTTTTATATGCAAGAAATATAACAAATGCTGTTTAGAGCCACTTTTTATTAGATGGCTTCCTCTAGAACGGTATTTCTCAAACTTTTTAGACACAAAGCACCCCTTAGGAAATGTCAGCTCTTAGCTTTCACCCATGTTTTGACTACAGAAAAATAGAGCAATTCTTCTGTTACAAAGAACTCAGAAAGACCACAACATGTCAGAATGGCTTTTGACACCATGGATTCCTATTTGAAACCACTGGGTTTATCTTATGGCTCGTGTCAGAATTTGCACACCAAATACTGCTAATACTGTGTGGCACCCTGGTTGAGAATCACTGCTCTAAGTTTCTAGAAGATCATCATATTAGACAGAGCTATCCAAATGGCAGCCCATGGGCTGCATGTGCCCCACAGGGAGTTAAATAGCAGCTCCTGGGTTCCTGCCTGACTGAAACTCCCCATATTGCTCCAATTGCAACAGTAGCTGGAGTCTCTGGGCTCCTGCTCCCTCCTCCAGTTTTGGATTTCTGCACCTGTCCCACAGGGCAGCGCAGCATGGTATGGAGTGGTGTGGTATGGCACGGCACACTCAGGGTGAAGCCAGGGCTACACAGTGTGTGGTACAGTATTTGGGGGAGGAGGGAGAGGAGAAACATCCACATGGGGTCATTGTAGTCATAGGCGACTGGCAGGGGGGGCACATCCCCCCTCAGTCT